CAGTTGCCTCCCAGTCTGTCCCAGTGCTGCCTTGGCGGGGGGGCATGGAGCTGGCAGACCCCCACCGGGGCATGGAGTGGGGCCAAGGCCCCCTCGTGATTTTGGGGACCGGGGCCTGGTAGCCCCATGGGGCAGTGGGGAGCCCCATCGACCGTGGGGTGAAGCTGGGCCTTATCTGAGCCCAGTGACCGGCTATTTCAATTAAAATTCCTGGCCGGCCGCAGGGGCTGGTGTTTGCTGATAGCCCTGACAGAGCAGAGCTAGTTTTTGTCTGGGTTGGGTCGGTATCTCTCGCCCCACCGAAATAGCCAAACTGGACTGTTAGGGGAGGCTGAATAAATAAACTACCCAAATGCAGGCAAGGAAGTGAAGGGCTGGAACAGGCGGGAAAAATAAATACAGTGGCTTGGGGAGAAAAGTGCTCACAGCCCCGCAGGTCGGTCCTGCATGGATGGATGGACCCAATGCATGGGTTCGTTCCCTGTCATCCATGGTTTTAGCTCTGTGTGCATCCGTGCCCGTGGGACATCCCTGCACACGGTGCCTTACTTGCCAGTGTAAAGTAGGAATTGTGCCCGACCACATCGTGAGAAACGCTAAGGTCACCTTCGCCATGAGGGTTTCGTACCGTGGGCCCCCCCTTCAGCATCTGCTAAATCCCTTTGGCAGGGGTAAAGCTCAGGCCCTGCTCAAGCAGTTTCTCTTGGGCTGCCCTCCTAAAAAGCACGCGCTCTCCTCTGAGATGGTTCGAGTCGTGCTGTCCTTTGCCACGGCCCTGACCCTGCTCTCTTTACACTTACTGGCAGTGTGGGTTCTTCAGCGTGATTTTGGCACGCTGAAAGGGTAGCTGGAGGTAGTTTTTGGGTACCTGGAGGTACTTTTTCTTTGCCTTTTTTTGTTCTATTGCACTTGCTGCCCAGACCCCAGAATTTCTAATCCCGTGTAGGAACAACACTGCAGCTCACTTAAACCAGTCCAGGCTCCTTGGGCTGGAGCCTCCTCCCCGTGCTGGCCACCACAGTGGCTCTGTGCTCCCTGCAGCCCTTTGCTGCGGTCCCCAGGGACAAGGTTGGCTCCTGCAAATCCATCCCACCAGTCCAGGGGCTGTGCCCCATTCGCAAAGCCCCTTCCCAGTCCCTGGCTGGATTCATTGCCACGTCTAAATGCCTTGTTTGGGACTCGAAACACCAAAAGGCGAGAGCAAACAGACAGTAACATTACACCTTGGCTTGTTGATGGCAAGAGGCAGCCGGCGCCAAGGTAAAATGCTTGGCTGGGATCGAGACGAGCAGGAAGGAATTGGGGTAAGTAGCTTTATCCGCCCCTAATGACTCGCTGCGGCCGAGATTAATGGAGAGGCTGGAGTTTGGCTTTCGGGACCTGCGGCGAGACGAGGCGCTGGGTGGGTCGAGTTGGGGGTCAGGGAAGGAAAATGGAGCTTAACACAGGGCAGCTGGCAGCGGGGCAGGATTAGTGCCCTGTGCCAGCTGTGGAGCTGTGCTGGCTGCTCCCCATCCCGCTCCGTGTGTCCCCCTGGGCTGCATCCAGCCCTCCCTCGCTCGCAGAGCAGCGACGGCCCCTGTTGCATCCAGAGGCTTGGATGAGGCTTGTAAATCATCTCCCCAGGCGCTCCCCTGCCAAAACCCTCTGCTGAGCCAGCTCAGCCCCGGCCCCACTCCCTGCCCCATGCCAGGCAGCTTTCCCAGTGCCATGGACATTGGCACTGGTGAGGGCTCGGGCCCTTCCCGTGGTGCTGGGGATGGACCATGGCTCTCGGCCGCCGTGTTTTGGCAGCCAGAGGCCACTGGGGGATTTCTGGGAAGAAGAGTAAGAGGATCTATCACAAGTGATCATAAATCATGGGCTTCTTTTTGACTGGCAAGTTAATTTTATTACAGCTCTCCAGGGACATTACTCCTCTTTTTAACGAGGTTAGCTGAAATCAGGAGAAAGCTGCTTCTAGCCACCGTCGGGCGTTTAAACGGGAGGATTTCTACGGCAGCAGCACAACCGCGGCTCCGAAAGTATCTGATTTCTGGCAGCTATCGCTGGGACGCATCAGGATCCCGATGCGATGTCGGAGGAGCATCCGAGGCTCTGGAAACCTGACTCTGCTTGCCGGGAGCACGAGGGGGCAGCCAGCCCTCCCAAGGCACTCCTGCCCTGCCGGGAGGTTTGGTTTTTATAGTGCTTAGAGCGAGGGAATAATGGGATTATTGGCTAATGGGAATAATGGGAATAAAGGGAATAAGGAGTGAGGTGGATGCGCGGGGAGGTTGCAAGCATAGAGATGTGTAGACGTCCCCAAGGAGTTTGTGGGTGCTTTCTCGCAGCTGAAACTAAAGAGGGTTTTCTATATCCTCTTCTTTTTCCCAGCTACTTTCTGTCCTTTTTCATCAGTGACATTAAACAAAAGGCAGGGAAAATGGAAGTGATGGCAGAGAGGGAAAGCAGATTCCCTCTCCAAGGTTTTCTAATAAACATCGGAGGGGGGAAAAAAAAGCAGAAAAATGTGCTGCTTTTCAGAATCCAGGGGATAAAAATAACTTTGCAGCTTGGGCAAGTTTTCATGGAGAACCTGCTTTCTGCCTGGCTCTGGGATGAAGGCCACGTCTGCCGCGCTGGCAGAGGCCGGCAGCGGGTGCGGGCAGGGTGCGGGCAGGCTGGGGGGATATCGTGACATGAGGAAGCGCAGGCAGCGCAGGCACAAAGCTGAAATGCCAAAACTGAGGCAGGCTGTTATCTCCTGCCCTCTATTTCTCTCTTTTCACCCCAATTTTAGCCAGCTCTTACCCTCTGAGAGAAGCCAGCACTTCCCAGGTACTCTGCTCCGCTCCCAGCTGCTCTGTTCGGCGGGGGTTTGTCAGCATTTTTTTATCTTTTATTTCTGGATTTTTGGGGACCTGTTGAACTCATAGAAAGGGTTGGGTTGGGAGGGACCTTTAAAGGTCACCCAGTCCAACCCCCGTCCAAGCTGACCATGAGTGTTCCCAGGGATGGAGCATCCACCACTTCTCTGGGCAACGTGTGCTGGT